AAGAAAGAGATATCAGATAGGTTCTTAATAACAGAGGCAATTATATGTTGCAGTAAGCCAGGAAAAGCTAACCATTAACATTAAGGAACGTATGCCAAGCTGATTATCCACCTGCTCAGAAATATATGCTGCCTACAATAAAGTAAGACTTAACCACGTATGTTTGGCTCAAAGAGTTCTAACTTTTGAACGAACTAACTAGACTTACATGAAATGGAAGCAAAATCTCAAGCAGATTGAACCTTTTAAGCAAAAGAAGGGAGGGCTCAGCAGCTCCATATGATAACATATTATTCATCTCCAAGCCTATTCTAGACTGAAGAAGCAGAAGAGTTGCATTAATGAAAATATGTCATGAATATGATGAGAATCATAAAAAGGTTTCATAAGGAGAAAACAAGCGAACATAGAGCGGACAGAAACTAAAATATCAGGTGAGCAGACTGTCAGTCCAGTAATTATAGAATACCGTGCTAAGGTTGGCAACCAATGAAGAGAGACTGTATAAAGCAACCTCGGTCTCCTTCGAAAACGATAAGTTAAGACGAGCTGCAAGTCTTAACCCACGTAAAATCCTGGCTGAAAGAAGAACATGTTTTAGTAGAGGTATTTTAAATTTAAAAAATTACTGTTTCATAAGTTGAATCAAGGATATTGCAAATTTGCATGATAGTGTTAGATGCAACAACCTTCATCTTCTTTGAAAGACCGTTGAGCTGGTATTACTGTGCTTAGCTGTTTGTGCCACAAAGATCAACTTAACAAACTTTTAAGATCACCAAGGTAATATTGTTTGCCTTAAAGAATATAGCTTACCTTCAAAGACCTCAAATCTGCCATTGCATTTGTGTAGTCAAAGATGACATTTACCGCAGGATCAAAAAACAAGCTGTTTCAGAATTTAGCACATAGCGCTCTGTTAGTTTACAGGCTCAAGAAAAATCAGAAAATGAAAAATAACACAGAATATATTCCTTTCTCAAAGAATAGTGAAATAACACTGGAGTTGGTAAAAATGTCGTTCAAGACCATTGAGCAGCACAAACCAGCAGGCATTTATGTTAACATTCTTTCTATTAGTGATTTTCTTCGTCGTGGTTCTCTGGGACGAGATAAAAGAAGATGTTGTGTTCAAATAAAACAATCCTAACTCCTCAATGCTCCCAAACAAGCATCTTCTTGTGAGACTGTCCTCAGCACTGTCAGCAATTTCTTTCTCCCATAGTCATGAATAAAATTTTATCCTAATTAGCACAACATACTAGCCCTCATGCAGTTACTCTCACTTGGATTTGACTCTCGTTAAATACTTAATATTTTGTAGCACCATCGTTTCAAGTGCATTAACTGTATTTTAATAAGTCTAGAATCAACATAAATAAGAACTGCAATAACCACTAGCAACACGAAAAAAAATGTAAACAATAAATGTAAATTTGCATGATTCAGGCCTTCGGTTCCCCAATTTTAACTATTCCTACTAGATAATATCATTAATTCCATGTAGGCTAAGAAGGTATCGAAAATAAAGTTGTTTTGTATAATAATAGAATTATCTAGGTTATTCATTTCACCACTATAAAGTAGCAGGAGTTAGTTAAATATCTTAGCTGAGGCTGAGAACAATCAGTATAGCCTTCCTCGGGAGGAAAAGCAAGAAATCAAATTAGAAGTAATTTTCATTCAGAACAGTGAAGAATGAAACCTGTTAACTGTGAAGTCTCTGCTCATGCAATTTTTCCAGCGAGCAAAGTCCCTTGGATTGCAACCTTTCGGCATTTCAAAGATGTCAACTTGTTTACTTTTGGATTTAACAGCTACAGTCTCAAAACTCGATACCTAAAAACAATAAAGTAGATAATGCTTGGCCAGTATAATGCAGTGGACAAGGTTATTGACAAGCCCGACTAGTAAATTTTCTATCAATAGAGATGTATGCAGAAGCTCAAAAACCAAAGTGATGAGCACTAACCTCCACTAAACAGCCTTTTATGATGACCCTACAGATAGGAAATCTTTTTCCAACAATTATTGCACGCTGAAACTTCTTCTTGACCTACATCGGATACATTTACATATATATTTGAAGCAAGCTACTCCAGTTTCATTTGCTGAGAAATGACTTAACACGTTAGAAATAACCTGTTTAAGTGATGCTGTTGTGATAACATCAAAATCTTTTGGTACTTTATTTAGAAGCAAGTCTCTAATACATCCACCAACTAAGTAGGCCTCGAACCCTGCACATTTTTAGTAACAAACAGCAAGCATGTTCACAACAGGACACACTTTGGTATACAAAGGAAAATGTAAATGAAACATATGTTAGCAGTTTAATTTTAATATATGCTGGAGCAGTTAGTTATCTACAACGTGAAGAGAGACCTCAAAAGGCAAGAAAATCATCCTATAGTAGTTCATTTAGAGCTCAAACTAATGTATGTATAAATGTTCAATTAATATACTTTATGGGGATTATCCCCAGTGAAAGCACTAGTTTATTTACAAATCCATACCAAAAATGCTTGAAGAAGATATGCAAGATTAGGCGGCATCTTTCTTATTCTGACGATATGAACTACTTCTAAATTACCCTTTACCTCTAAGGCTATTTGTTTCCTCTGATCTTTGCATGACATTCACCATAAAATAATGTTTATTAATTCAAGTGTGTTCATCGTACAAATATTAAGATCATTCAAAGAAAATTGTTGCTTGATTTTCATATTGAACTGTCTCTGAAACAACGCTTTTCTGACACAAAATACAATTAATGGAAAGGTGATAAAACAAAAATACTTCACCAGGTGACTCTATGTGGATACTGGCAGAAATTTTTTTCTTACCACAATTTTGTGTTGATCTTCAATTGTCAACATAAACCAATGAAAGAACACATGCAGTTCTTCTATGTATGCATTTTTCCACAAAACAAGAGGGTGATCCTTATGACATTGTGGGGCCAAATTATCACAGAATAGTTTAAAGAGCATATTATTGTCTTGAAATAGACTTCTGCAGTTGATTATTGCCAATTGAATCGTGTTTATAGATCTAAATTATGCAGAGGATCTATGTAAAGTAGCTACGAAATAAACTCAATCAAGAACATCTTTGATGCGGTAAATGAATGGAGTTAAAACGACAAGTAACAAGGGAACCGAATACAAGTCAATTCCCAGAAATAAATCTCTTTATGAAAAGCCCGATTACAGCTCCATTGTCATATATGTGGCAAAATGAATTGGTTGAACTCTACAATGTCAGTACTATGATATTTTGGCGGATAGAAGAGGTGTAACATTGCATCGAACTCCACGGATAATCACTTTCATCAATTACCTATAGGTTCCCTTCTTTGTGCATTACGTAAATGGACCGGAAGTACCAAACATCTCAACTATAGTATATACATGAGTACACATAGTAAAATATTTCACATGATAGGAACTACACATAAAAGAAATATATGCTGGCAAGAATGGCCTTTTGCCTTAATGATCTGCCTTTATAAATGGAATAGTGGATAAAAATGGCAGCTAAAGAGATTCAGTTTAATTAGTAATACTGCAATTACTTTCACAAATTTGGTGAATAAAAAAAACTACATATAAGCTCATACGAAATGGCACCTGCAGCTCGCAGATTCCGTAGAACTACCGAAGCAGGAATCGATACCATTGACCTTGTTAGCCCCAAATTCCTGGAGTCTATCTTTCTCCATTTTGAAATCTCAACTTGACCTAAAAACATCGTCAAACGTTTCGAATTATAAATTCAAGAGTACAATCATGTGAATGTATTAAACAATATGCATTGGTAAATGGTGAATCAGAATTGTTTCTGCTCAAACCATAAAAGGTAAAAGTACAGAGCAATAACCAGAACAGAATTGAATTCGTGAAGAATCGATTCAAACTTGATTGCAATGAAGTATGAAAGTATTTCAATTTTTTCAAATTCTAAAGCTAAATTCCAAAACATGAACAGTCTTAAGTGAATAAAAAGTGACTTAAATAACTCAAGACCTGAGCCAGAGCATGCACCCGTATCGGAAGAGAAATGAGCTCGACCCTCGTCTGCAACGAAGCTGCACTTCAACCTCTGTTAATCATGAAAAATCATCTTAATTTAACCGAAAATGAAAAGAAGAAGAGGATATATATGTATATAAACACAAAACGCGCGCGCAGTGTGCAACTACAGTTATGAAGCAGAGGTGTTTGAATAAATGTCTGAAAGAAACAAGAACTGGAAACGGGCTGAAATATGCACCTCTGGAGCAAGAAAGGATTTCAGGCGAGATAGCAATGTCTTGCCTTTGGAGGAATGCGACAACGCCGCCATGCAAAGGAGTTTGATCAGCGAAAAGCAACGGTGTCTGGTTTTCTTGGGTGAAAATTTGAGGAAGAGGGAAAAGGAAAGAGCCTAATTTTAATTTTTGTACAGACACGGGGATTCTCGCTAAGAACGGTATTTGCAAGATTAAATTTGAATATACACAAATTAATTTAACTAATTTAAAATTTTCTAAATGCCCAAACCTAATTACAAATAGGGTACCAAATCTCATTAGGACATCATTAGGACAGTTGGTAGCTAATTTTTACCAATCTAGGGTTCGAGTCTTCCTTCATCTATTTCCCCTTGTAGTATGGATTTTAATTTACTCAAAAAAAAAAAGTTTACAAATAGGTGTGATATGCCTCACATTCCTCAAACGAAACATAATTAGGTATGAGTGACAAGGTTAAATAAAACATTTTATCTACATTCTTATCTAAAAAGAAAAATTTATATACATCATTTGATTTTAATTTAACCCAAAAATACCATTACAATAACTAATAAAAAATCGTTGCTCTTTTTTTTTCTCATTTTTCTCTCTCTCTCTCCATTTCTTCCACCGTCCCAGCCCCTCCTCTTCTCTCTGTTACTCATTTTCTCTCTTTCTCTCTGTTTATCGATCATATGTCGTCCCAACTCCTCTCATTCTCGCTCTCTTTGATTCTTCATCTTTTCTATTATTATTAACTTATCTGAGTTTAATAAATTATTAAGTTATGTTTATGATAATATGGTTATGTAGGCTATGACGGTGGTTATGGTAGGTAGAGGTGGCGGCTATGGAGGCGGTGCATATGATGGTGGTGGTTATGGAGGCGATTTCGATTTCGGTGAGGCCGATGGTGGTCGCGATTACGGTGGAGGTGCTTGTGGTGAAAGGGGGAGGCGGCTATGGCGGTGGTGGTTGCGGTTATAAGGGCGACAATTATGGTGAAAGCGGAGGCGGCTAGGGTTTGGTGGATATGATTTGGCGGCGGATAGGAGTTGTTGGCTGCTAGGATTCCGTGAAGGTTGAGAAGTTGTAGCTACTAGGGTTTTCGCGGTGGCTGAGGAGTAGTGGCTGCTAGGCTTCGGAATAGTACACCATAGTGTACTACAATCTATTGAGAAGTTGTGGCTGTTAAGGTTTGGAATACTACACCATAGTAAATCATAGTAAATAATATTGCACTTTAGTATACTACAATCAATTGTAATATATATGAACCGACCCCAGGCGTGCCATGATTCATGTTTTAGATGCCTATAAATTATGAAAGTGACTATGATTGACTATAGAAAACTATATATATTTATCGACAAAAGATAACAATACAAAATAAGAAATAAAAAAAAAATTACGTAATTTAAATTGAAAAAAAAATCGTAATTTTCAATATTATGTAGATTAATAAATAAAAACGATATTTTTATAACAATGTAAAAATGCTAAAATGAAAAGAAGAGAAAATAAGATCTTTTTTGGCTGTTTTTTTATAAATAAAAACTATCTTTTTTTGGCCGCTTTTTTTATGTCTTTTTTGCATCTGACAAGTCAACGTAATTATATTATTGGCGTTGACAGTAAAATAACTGTAAACACAATAATATTACTGTCAACCACATCAATATTATTATTTTTTTTGGGGTTTTTGTTTTGTTTGAGTTGTTGACGGAGTAACGTAATAATATTACTGTCTAATATTGTAAACACAATAATATTACTGTGGTTGACGGTAATATTACTGTTGTTTAATTCTTTTGGCTTTTTATTATGTTTATCTTTGTTGAATGGTCAACATATTAATATTACTCTATTACACAATAATAATGACTTATGTTGTGTTAATATTACTGTGCTAGAGATTAATATAGCAATATTGTTGTGTTAAACTGTAGTAGTTAATATTACTGTGTTTAACAGTAATATCGTTAATATTACTGTCAACCACAACAATATTGTTGTTTAAACGGGGGCAAAAAGATGTTAAAGAAAAAAATTCAAAAAAAAAAAAAAAAAAATCAACGCCGAAGACCAACGGGCGACGGACGAAATTGTACTCAAAATTGTGTTTTGGGTCAAAAATGAATAATTTGTGAAATTTGGGGTCAAATTGATGTTAAATTAAATTAAAGGATGAAATTGGAGCATATGAAAATGTGAGAGGGTATTTTAGTCTTTTACAAACATCTGGACAATGTGTGGATTTTTTTGTAAAAGAGTTTTTTGTCTGGACACCTTTATGAATAAGTACTCATTAATGGGTTTATTTGTAAAGTGCCCTAAACAAATTTGGAAGCACAAATAAAAATATTAAATGCAATAAAATTGTTAGATGCAGTTTGAATCTTTATTTAGAGCAGATTTCAAATTTATGTATGGAGGGGCAATTTTGGAACGAATTTTATGAAGAATGTGTAGTAAAGGTTTAGGTGGACTCGTCATGTAGTTCTAATAAGTTTTGTCACGAGGATCTATATCTTTAGGCCCCTTATAAATATACTGCTTATATTTATATGGAACATTCCCAAAAAATTGTAGTGATTTTTCCCATTTCATTTTTACGAGTACTCGTTTAATTTTTTTTAATTTTTTTCTCTCTTGTAGCTTAACGAATTTTTAATAATAAAACTAAATAATTAACTATTTATCAATTACTAAACATGTATTAAACAAATTATTATTATTATTATTATTATTATTATTATTATTATTATTATTATTATTATTATTATTATTATTATTATTATTATTATTATTATTATTATTATTATTATTATTATTATTATTATTATTATTATTATTATTATTATTATTATTATTATTATTATTATTATTATTATTTGTTGTTATTACTCAATTATCCTTTTATGCATTTAATATTAAAATATTATCTATTGATAAGGGTATTTTGGTCCTCACATAAAATAGAAGAAATCTTCCCTAACATTCCCTCTTTTATAGACAAAATATAGATTTTTGCAATGTAGTTTTGGAAATTGATTTTATTGTTGCTTATTTGTACTTCAAATTATTGTTGGCATTGAATCTTGCATCCTATAACTGAAAATTGATGTATACTTTTTTTTTTAAGTTAACATGATGTGTTGTATTTGTTCATTCAACAGTCACTTCGAAAAGAGGAAAGATCAAAGTAAATGAGGTGTCAGCCTCTTCGAAAAAGGAGAGCCAAGATTGAATCAACTAAAGACTCTATACAATCCATCGAATAATTTTGCAGAACAAGTAACAAATATAGAGAATTTGAGCCCAAAATATTAATCAAGTCTATTTTTTGGTCAATTACACCATTACAATTTCGATTGGTTGTTTTTAGATTGTTGTTGCACATCGTATAAAAATTTTACAATTTATTTTCTAGTCATAAGTTGCAATTTGCAGTTTTCTATCTCAAGTCGCAAATTTATTTTGTTCTTTTTTTTTCTACTGAAATAAAACCAAAAACAAAATATATATCTTCAAGTACATACGACATAACAACTAAAATCCAACATATATGGTCTCAAGAAAGTTGATAATTGAAGATTGCTATAGGATACTCACATAAATAAAATTAAAGATTTTTTTTACAAGAAATGAAGAATAAATGATCAAGGGTCTATACCTATATTCATCTAATATAATGGATTTTCACCAATATAAGTCTATAATAAAGGGTGTCTAGCCAACTATTACTAATTCTTCATTCATTAATACATAAATATCAGCCAATAATTAACTAATTATCAAACAATTTATTATTATATGGTTTCTATATCTGGAATACACACCTATATTCACCATATACTCTCATCACGTGTGAGTCACGTGAGTTTAAGTTGCCTACTCAGCACGTGAGTCAGCCATGTGGTTTGTTACACTTGAGCTGTTTTCATTGGTGGAATAAATGTATGGCTCTTGTGTATTACTTGGAGAGAAAGTTCTCTATTTATATCACATATACATTGAGCTGAGGCAGAGGAGATATACTGGGATACACTGTGAGCAGAGGGAAATTCTTGTGAGAGGGGTTTAGAGTTTCTGGCAGATCTCATGCTCGGTTTCAGCTGAGATTATCTACTCTGATATTGTATCTGTATTGATCTGGTGTTATAGTGAATTGGAGCTTGTATTGCTCCCGGGGATGTAGATCTCACATTGAGATTGAACCTCGTAAATCCTCTTGTTCTTCTTCTTTAGTTTGCAAGCTGCATGTGTGTGTTTGCTGTGTGTGTTTAATTTTAATTTCATACAGCACAATCAAAGCTTCATAAATCATAACAAGTGGTGCGGTGAGCGTGGATCGAAGTGGAGCTGGTTAATTCAAACAATACAAGGTCAGATCTGCAGCTGAAATTGGAAGAGGTACACCCCTGACTTAGATCTATTGAAGATGAGTAATTCTAAGTTTGAATTTGAAAAATTCAATGGTGATAATGATTTTACTCTCTGGAGAATCAAGATGAAAGCCTTATTGGTTCATCAAGGACTTTCTACTGCCCTAGATGCAAAGTTATTATCTGAATTAGATGATAAGAAAACAGTGCCAGAGATACAATCTAAGGCACATAGTGCACTGATCTTAAGTCTAGGTGATGAAGTACTTCGTGAAGTCTCTGAAGAAACAACAGCTCTAGCTATATGGGAAAAACTTGAGTCTATATACATGAAGAAATCCCTAGCTAACAGGTTGTATCTGAAGAAGAAACTCGATACTCTTCAAATGGAGACAGGTCAGGAAGTCAGGAAGCATCTAGATGAGTATAATAGGATTATTCTAAACCTACATGCTGTTGGAGTCAAAATTGAAGAGGAGGATCAGGCCATTATCCTATTAAGCTCACTTCCAAAGGATTATGGGCATATAGTAGATACTATGCTCTATAGAAAGGATACCCTTACAATGACAGAAGTAAAATCTGTACTAAATTCAAAAGAGCATCAGAAGAGAAATGAATCAAGCTCAAATGGAAGTGTGATAAGTGTTCATTTTGCATGATTTTCACTTATCAATTCTTCGAGTTTTGGTCTTCGTTCGTCCGAGTTTTCGGCTTTATTTGTATATATTATGTTGTTTTTGTTTTATTTATATTTTAGGTAAAGATAACCTACTTTTGCATACGATCTCCGATTGGGCTGATTCAAGTGGATTTAGAAAAAAGATAACTTCAAGGGCTACAACTTTTATGAAATGC